AGAGTGGATTTTGGGCTCGAATACGGGACGATACTTTGTAATTTGGTGCTTTATGAATTCATATCGAGCACATCTCACCTATACGCCAGCAGCAAGCCGTTAACTGTCGGACAGTTTAAGAGGCGGATGACCGGTCCGGCTGTTGAAATTTGAATGGTTATTTGAGTTTTTCTTCACCCTGCGCACCAATTCACCTCTGTGTCACATTTGATCTACTTAAAATCCTCATAATTGCTGCCTTCAACCTTTGATGATTACTAACACGGTTTGTCAGCGACTGCACGCCTAATGTGATAGGCCTTTTGGCAACCGGCAATCAAAAACTTGCCAAATTATAAATACATGTGCAAGGATTACCAGGGTCAAAGTACATGGCGCATCTCAAACAGGTTCGAGTGTGATTCTGCTCCCTTCCGAACCCTTTTAACGTGCATTCCAACCATTCTCTCGAATTTGAAGTCGCACCTGGAGATGTAACCAAGCGATCGATTGGTGGTAGTTATTCCGGCTTTGCACATAAATAGACTCTGTTATTCTATTCGAATGGGCCCCGTGGAGGAATGAATGGTTGCCATCCAGTTCTCACAACACACCCCCACTGTTCTTTCCCGACGACCCCTTTGCATTCCCACTTACCACCTCTGCGGCACACGCCGAGGTGCCCTTGAAACCTTCTCGTGCACAGTTTTCTCCCTTTGCTGGTCTTACAAGAATCGATTTTTGAGTCGGACCTACTCATCCTTCTACCAAGCTCTGCCCTGTCCGGTATTGTACTTATGTAGCACAAAATTCGGTTCCACGAGAAAAAAAACTTTACTTGACCAGTAAACCATTAGTTCTACTCCAGCTAGGGTTACGAAAACATTCTTCTAGAAAGTCATTGGCTCATCTCAAATGATACGAAGGTTAGCGTTCCAGCGTTTGTTATGTCTACATTTTATTGTCTCTTTCATGTCCTGTCTATCAAGAAAGCTTGGACGCTGTAGTCAGGCAGGGTGAGGGGGGGGAGGCGGGTTAGAGATGGCTTTCATATTCACTTTTCGAGTGAACCTAACATCCTATGTAGAAACAATCGTCTTGAGAAGGAAAACACTTCAAACTTTTCATAGTTCGTCAAAAAGAAGTGATGCCTCGTCGTATGAAATCAGTAACAGGCCAAGCCGTCACATTCAGAGCACAAGGTTCACGGAATGTGGGTTTCAGTTGCTTGATTAGTTTGATATCGATCAATCCATGTAATTTCTACGTTGTAACATATCGGGGTTTTTTTTTCCATAAACAGGATGCGCAACTTATTCTCGTGAAGTTATTTTGTGCTTGGTTGAGAATTTGCCGCGCGCGAATCGAATATGTTTAGCGCGGGCAAGGAAATCGCGCACCAGTTAAGGTTTTTCCGCACGATTTGTTTCGTGATTGCATTACGTGGACAGCGCCTCATGAGTACACGGTTAATATTATTTGGGTTATTTGGCTGTTTTACCTAGAGGGGGATACTTATCACGCAATACTTTAGTGAAGGGAACGCGGAGTCCTAACGTGTACACCGTATCTCTTGAAGCCTGAGAACTTGCCTACTGAGCTTTCTACGCTTCTTCTTAATTTTTTTGAGGTTCGTTTCAAATTTGCTAGTATATGATGCCACCAAGAGCCAGGAGACCAGGGAAAGGAGCTTCGAGGGGGTGACAAATTGACTTGGATTTGCTTGTCGTGAAACAGTGCGCTCACTCCGAGGCTTATTCATTTTGGCTTAGGCAAAGGTGCCTCTTCCTGAGTTGTCTGATGTCCCTAAAGAGTTCTTCCTAAACCCTCCCTTCTTTGAGGTAAATTCACGTCCAGTTTTCCCGAAGTGCTGATATTCATGTCAACATGCCTTTCATTATGGTATCTACGAAGCGGGCATTTTTCGGTGCTAATGGTGAGGGGGGGGGGGACCACGCGACGCTGCCGCTGAACACTATAATTTGTGATTGACTTCTGGCACATTTGACCTATCTAGGCTTAGGTTCAGTGCCATTCCGTTTGATAGGCGCCGCGCCGCGCGGTGGTCCCCCCTACCTCAATTAGCATCCATTTTCTTCTCAGCAATGTAAGATAGATGTAACAAAAATGATCAGTTCTGGATAAATTTATAAAGATCATCCCTTCCAGCCAGATGATATTGATATGTGACCCGTTTGTTTGTGGAAATCAATCTGCATCATAAATTTGATCACTATTGATCACTGGGCGAGGCGTCGCAAAAGTAGGGTTCCATTCCGAGGTCTATTCGGCCGACTTTTTATAGCGTCATTAGGGCTCTTCTGTCTTCGCTGTTTTCCGAATGATGTCATTGCCCTTCATCGATCTGACGCTAGATAATGGTTTTTTGAATTTTGTTGCTCTCGTATCTTGAGGGTCACGGGACTTCCGATTTTCACTGGTTCTTTATCGCTCGCTCTAGAAGTTTCTATGAACACCTTTGATTGTTGTGTTTTCTAACATTGTTGATAATTCCTGGCGAAAATCCTTTCAAGTAGAATGGCATGAGCTCTGAATATTGCAAAACCATATTGTGCACTGTTTTTAAGCAAGAATGTGAAATAATTGACGTTTTGAATGCGCATTTGAAATTGCCTTCATCTGTGCCGTTCCATAATGTTTTTATATTATTCACACTTTGATCAATACGATCCATTTTCGATAAAGAACGTTCTGCGGGATTATTATGCTTTTCGGAAGGGGATTTCTACACGAGACGTAGAAAATTGCAATTCAGAAAAAGAGATCAGGGTTTCATTAGAAGGGAAGATGTTGGAGTGTCTATGGGTGGTGTAAATAGGAATTTTCTAGGGAATGTAAAGTATTACTCTTGTTAGCAGATAGTACCGTTACCAGGTTTGCACGCTTTCCTGCGACGAACGTGTCGTCATTGCGGACTCACAAGGAGTAGCACCCAACGGAATTTAAATGAAGTCTATTATTTTTGCGTTCACTTGTGAGTACAGGGTTTCCGTACTTACTAAACTATTCTCTGAACGGGGTTATGGGGCGGAGAAGCGCAGCGGTAGTGGTACCTCCTTACAAGGTGGAGATCACGACACAGGGCAAGTGTTTTTGCTAGTGTATAAACGAAATACCAGAGCAACCTCTACCACGGTTGCAGTTTGAACTCAACGTCCTAAAGGAAATGCAGTGATGTACATCTCATTTCAATTGGCCGGGTGTATTGACCTTGTCTCAATAGCGCACGGTACGTAGTGGAAAAAAATTGAGATTACAATGTGCTTTCACGTTGGCTTCAAATCAAGAGGAAGAGAGTCTCAACACTGAGCCTTGGAGAGGGAAGGGACTTCGTGGTGGACGATCCAATCAGTGAATGGGTTAAATCACAGTAGTCATAAGCTGCTGTTTAGGGGGCAGCTGAAAGGACCGAGTTCAATTGTTCGTAAGACCCGGTATGCAACAATGATGACATATGATGCACATGGTTATAACTCGGGATAGTTTATGCCATGAAAACGCAAAGAGGAACTGAAATCTCCCTACGATCAAATTTTGTGGGAACAAGTGCGTAGATGCAGCTAAATAAATACAAGTCAGAGAGAGGTAAAGTCAGCGGTAGTAATTTAGGTTGACCTCATAATATTGGCGACGGCTTATAAAAAATATTCAAATCGTGCTTTGCCATCTGTCTTATCGTACCTCCACCTAAAGCACTTGCTTTTGCTGCGCGATACTCTGTGCCCTAATTTTGGTTGCAGTGGCAAGTTTTTTGATGAACAGGTAATTTATTAGGTACCGGATATCTTAGTGTCGTTTTTTCACCGCGAGTTTCGGACCACCAATATTTTAATTCAAAATCCAGTGAGTGAAACGGCATATCCATCGAATGACTCATTAGCCCTTTCCCATTTACCAGTATGAGTGAAAACCTCGTACGATTAAAGCTAGGAATTTTTTGAGTCGAAAAAGAGAGGTAGGTCGAATTTGACATCATCTGACAAATCATCCCTCTCACTTGCTAAAAGTATTAGTCCTTAGAGTAGGGTCTGCACTGTATGGTGGAAAAGTTATAACTTACCAGCTCAACTGGACAATTTTTCCCGGAGTCTTTTTTTGCCATAGGGTCAAAAACGCACCCTTTTTGAGCACACGTGAGTAGCAGATGAGCACATTTATTAGAATTTCTTGTGCAATCAACTTCGTTAAAGCGTTTGTGCATCATCGATCAGTCACTGCTAAGGTGTCCTACCATTTCAGCACAAGACTGGTGCAGCCCCGTCTCGACTGATTTAACTAGGGCCACCTTTTGACGACGATTGCGGGCATCACTTCAAAGACTTCACTGTCTTTGAGAAAACTGTGAAAACCGATGAGCATTTTAATGGTAGTATTCCCTCCAAAAAATGCAATGTTGGTTTGGTGGGCGGAATTTGTGGTCCGCAAGAATTTGAGCGTTAGGGCTACCTCATAGACATGCGAATCGCAGACATGGACCAGGAATATTTCACAAATAAGTTAAAAGTTTGTGGGGGAATAAATTGTGATCACAACAATAGAAAACAATAAGCAACATATTTCGCAGTATTAATGAGCAAAAAGGACTTTCTGAGATATTGATTTTCCATAGTAATCGGCCCAAAACTTCCCGAACTCAGAAAAGCGACACTAAGATATCCGGTACCTAATATTTAGTCAGCTACGAGTAAGAAGTGACAAGGTGTTTCCAAAGCGAGCGAATGTGCTGTAAGAGGAAAAAAACGTTAGATGGCGTAAGTCGAGGATTATTCACCTTTGTATGCGGTTATGGTGGATGACGTGCCGCTATGATGACTTCCATTTTCCTATGTTTTTCGGCACTGACCCATACCTCTACCTTCCTCAGGAACCTCGATCCATATGGACTAAAAGAAATTCTTTTACAATTTATTGAATTCGTTCGAATGGAAACTGTTCTTCTAGGTCACCTTTATGCATTTGTTTGATTTCAGTTGCATCGCGTTAAGGTGGCTGGAACGTAAATGGCTGCAGTGGCATCAGCCATGCCAGCTGCAAGAAGACGTGACGACAAGTCGTCAACGTCTCCTGATCGCACTCGCATCAAACTCCAGGACGATGCACCTGTCATACTAAACACTATAGCTACCTCCAAAGTGGAGTAGTAGGCACATCAGGAAAATGACGCTGATTAAGAAAGTGGGTTTTGTTATGTTAGTCGCACGGTTGTAAACACTGGGGATGTGGCAGGGGCAGGGCATCTAACACCCACCCGCCCTGTCTTCACACCACTTTCAGAGCACACTCTAGTTACTGGCTGTTTTTCATTTCTTAACATCTAATATAGGCTCATAGAAGAACATTGCTCGGTGGTTAAATGGATGAAAGGCTTAAGGATTTGGTTAATCCGGTCGAGGCTTCCTTTTCGAAGGCGCGCGATTATTCTTCCACTCAGAGATAATGATATGCATTATGGCTATCTGTTATGGGCAGGCAAGGTGATTTGTCATCCAAGGCAACATGCGATGTGATATGTTATTCAGACCGAGAAAACGTAAGATGTGGTTAAACTTAGCAATTGATCTCACATTTGGGCTTGGTCATCGGGCCGTGCACTTGGAGCGGCGCTGCTTGCCTCCACGCGATCGCTGCCCAGTTTTGTGTTGTAACGTCAAAAATTCAAACAGAAGTGCTAAGCTGTTTACTATCAAAGAAGGTTGTCCTTCATTGATTGCTTATTACGGACAGACACAATGATGGCACAACACAGTATGGCCGAATACTGATTGGAAAATAATATTTTTCGATCCCTTGCAGTTGACGCTGATATTTGAATGCGCTGTCAGTACTTTTTTTGGACGGGCAATTGAACCGTGTCTGTGCTCATCCAGGGACGGAGGGAGCATTTGCTGCAGCAAGATTCGCGGCCCGTAAGTTATCAATATTTCGGCCAGGGAAGGGAAGCAATGGAGCTGAGGTGTGAGCAAGCGAAAAGCGAATTGGTGTACGCACCTCGCCAGTTTCTCCTTCCTCAAAAAGTTCGCACATCTTATAGGCGGGAGTAAGTTACGGATTACATTGCACCGAGACATCTATCCCCTTCTGACACGACGATGGGAACTCGCAGGCTGTCTCCTGGAATGGCTTAGGTTTGCACTCTCTGTTGATCCAGACATTTGTTCAATTGTTTTGAACTTTCATTCTAAATTGTCTTTTATGTATTAATGATACTTTATCAGTTATTACGATATCATGAAAATCATGCGAATCATGCGAATCCACTGAGAACCATGTCGAAGTGGCTCGAGTACGTGTAAATGATAAAATCAAAGATCGTCTGCAATTAATTACGTTAAGAAATCAGTGGCCACTCGTATTCATCAAGGTCGGTCAGGAATTCCTTTTACCCCTTTTTCTGGTTGTATTTGTTTCTTTTAGGGAGATGCTATAGGCGGATTAGAAGAGCTGAAGAAACTTGCTGATACAAAAATATTAGCTGAATGGCTGAAGGATCACAAATATGATCTGATTGTTGTTGGTGGCGGTTCTGGTGGTCTAGCTGCTGCGAAAATGGCTGCGATGTGAGTTCTTTGTAGAAAATAAGTCTGAAGCGAGGAAGGCATGGCGGTGGTAATTATGCCTTGAAATTTTCCTAGTCATCATAGTTTCTGATGATTTTCTTGTCTCCCGTTATCTAGAACTCTGAAATTCCTTGTTTCCTACTCTTTCACTTCAAACTCCTTTTTTCAACATTTTAGAATTTCCAACAGTAATGTAGTGCACTAATATGACGTTGTGCTTATTTTATGATCGTACCTCTTTCAGGCATGGAAAGAAAGTAGCTGTACTAGATTTTGTTAAGCCCTCGCCTCTTGGAACCACTTGGGGTTTGGGTGGTACTTGTGTAAATGTTGGTTGTATTCCTAAGAAACTCATGCATCAAGCGGCACTTTTGGGACATTCAATAAGTGAGTCTGGCTTCGAGCAGTTAAGTAGTCCATGTGATTCTCAATTCTCTGTTGCATTCTGACTAGTTGCTTGAAAAAGATTTAATTCTGAACGAGGGAGTCTCTTAATTTCAGAAGATGCTAAAATGTTCGGCTGGAAAATACCAGAGGGTGACATCAGTCACAGTTGGGAGAATCTAAAGAATGGTGTACAAGATCACATATCTTCCCTGAACTGGGGATACCGTGTTCAATTGCGTGAAAAACAGGTAAATATCTTCTTTGTATTGATAGGAATTTCCCTGTACTCCTTTTTTACAGGTTACGTATATAAATTCCTATGGTAGGTTTACGGGACCGTTCGAGATATCGGCTACGAATAAGAAAGGGCAAGTGGAGGTGTTGACAGCAGATCGCTTCTTGATTGCCACCGGCCTTCGCCCACGATATCCTCCGGATGTCCCCGGTGCACGTGAATACTGTGTTTCAAGGTTGGTTTTTATGTATATATTTAAGTTTGCGGGATTCTTGGTCATTGCCTTCATATTATGAATTATCGTTTAGTGATGATCTTTTTTCGCTTCCTTATCCTCCTGGAAAAACACTTTGTGTTGGTGCTTCCTATGTTTCACTCGAGTGTGCTGGTTTCCTGCACGGGTTGGGTTATGATGCGACGGTGAGTGTAGCTACGGAAGTTGTTATGTTTCGTGA